GCGTTCCTCTTCTGTTCGAGGCCACATAATCTTGACACTAGCAATAGGTCCAAAACGACCAAATGTCCTCATAAGAAAATTCTCGTCCACCTGTCATATAATATAATGCAACCATCAAGTTAATCATGATGTAAAGTTAACCTTATGTATAAACAAAACAAGCGCATTGGAGAATGCCAACCTTAGGAGAAAGATTCCCAACATATAAGTTCGTGGTTTGTGGATCCCCATCATCAAATGATCCTGGAAGTTTCCCAATGGGATCTAATTCATCTGGTAGTTCATCAAAACGGCTAGAGGACTGCAGGACACAGTAACAGGCATCAATTAATAAATAGCAAACTATTAATAATGCCACAAAGATTTCTACAGAAAAAACTGCAAGAAATCATTATTTTTCTTTATTAACTACTCGTATTATATTAAAAAAACAGTTATAGAGTGCAGACAGGAAAAAAACAGCGTTCTACAACCTAGGCAATTAAAAAAAAGAATATTTCATCATCTTTACTCTTCTAAAAAGAGGAGTTGGGGATGATGGTGTGTTCTACACCTCATTCCCCCTACCCCAGAGGATCTTCTGTGGCCATATATGTGAAAGCACTGCAATCTTTGTTTTAAAAACAAGGGGTGTTTTTTTGCAGGTGTCCATATATAGGTTACTAACTGATATCATGTGATCAGGTATATTTTTTTCATATTTGAGGAAAGTTGTATTTTTGCTCTTTTGTTTTGGGTCCTATAGTACATATATAGGTTACTAACTAATGGGCATTAATGCTAGCCAACAAACTAAACATGATCTAAAGCACTCCGAAGTTCTTTTGGAGTGCTGTCTAGTGCAAGTAAATAAAGGCCTATTCTGTCAAATACTGAAGTGCGTACAGCAGATGTGTCAGTGTGTCGACCCTCACGCCATTGCTCGCGTTCCTGATTACGCTTTTGTCGAAGCTCTTTCTCAAACTTGAGCTCCTCCATGAACTCGTCTATTACCCGTGGCTTTCGTCTTTCCTTTTCCTTTGGACGCTCCTCTTCTTTCTGCACAGCAAGATAATGCTTAACCAGAAAACCATAGTGACTACTGAGACAGCCATAAGAATATTGGAATTGTACTAACCTTTTTGTCCGGCTCTTTCCCAAATGACGGCGGCAAAAAAGATGGAACATACCTGGATAAAAGTACGCTACGTATAAGGTATCTATCATGTATACACCTAGATGACACGGGTATATGAAAAAGAAAACAGAATCAAGCAGTGTGCCCAAATGGCCAGCATGGTGAGTTGCTAATAACCCTACAGCTTTCTTGACAAATAGCTGTACTTTTCACCTTTGCTATACTTTCACAAATTCTCTTTCTAAAATCATGTTAACCAAGAAACTATATAGAACGTTCAGTTAATCATAAAGCTTACACTCGACTGCCTGCAATGATTTAATGGAAATTCTGACTTATACTAGCATGATTGCACAAGAGGAATCCAAATACGGAGTATTACAAAACTAAGGCTCCTTTCATCCTTGCCATGCCATAGGTTTTCACAAGCATGCACATTTTTCAACTTCTGGACGAAAATAGTTCAGATCATCTTGTTTTGGAGAAATAACAGCAGAAACGTTGATGAAAATATGGAATTAGTAAAAACTCCATAAATCTAACTAAATAAAGTTAGTTAGTTAGTTAGATAATGGTTTCAGAGGAGAGAGAGAAAGAGGATTACTAAAAACAACCCTACTTCCTCCACCCCAAAATGTTACGTAGCATTTTTTTAGGTGGGCACGGGTATTAAGGAAGTAGGTAGAAATGATTGAAGGAAGTTTGTGATTGGTTGAGAAGAGAAAGTAGGTGAAGAAATTAAATGGAGAATGGTTGTGATTGGTTGAGAGGGTGTGGTAGAAATAGCTACATTTCAGGACGGATGTAGTACTAAATATACCAGTTGCTCAGCACATGTAAATCATAATATTCTAAGACCTCTTTTAAGATTCTAAAAGTTATAGTCAGCTTCACTGATAACTGAAACTTCTTCCCGAAGGAACGAAGTATGATGAATTTGGAAATGCTTTTAAGAAAACATATAACATGAGCCATCATTATCCTTATATGTCAGACAAGTAAAAGTCATCCCAAAATTATTTACACTTCACTAGATGGAAATATGGCTATCTGTGTGCTTTTCCATACAGTCCACAAGCAATTAGTCAAGCAAAATTATTTACTTACTGGAATAATTATTGAATGCGTTTGAATGCGTTTTGTCAAGCAGAAATTTGTACAACCCTCGTGTCTATCAAACGCATTCAATAGTTGGTATCAACTTTGTAGATACATAAGCAGACAATTCACAAAACCATGATGCTAGCGAAAAGTAAAATGGTGAAAAAATATAGCATGAATCATTTAATGCTCGTGGTTGGCCTCTGGATTCCGATTATATTGGCCATATGGCCATCTAAGATGAAGCAGCGGTACCACAAGATACCCTCTTCTAGAAATCAAGTATTTTTTTTCGTTTACCTACTGCCCTTCTTTGGAACAGACCCCCCATCTTTGGACTTTCCACCTGCCATTGCCGAATGAATAAAAAGGCCGGTCTCTTGATTAATTGGAGCAATAGAAGAAACAATGTATATATCCATCATGATTTTCAATCTACAAAGAGTAAAGCCAACTACAACAAGGTATATGAAAATGTAAACCATATCACTAACCTTCGGAATCAATCCTCAGCTTGGCATTGGGATCAATCACACCTCCTCGGACAAACTTCGACCCAGATGTGCTATCACCCTTGAATGACTCCACAAATTCCTCGTACACACGTGCCGCTTCATCTTGCTCTCTCTACACAGATCAGAAGCAGTTAAAATCAGATATGGATAGAATGTGCGTGCAAAAAAGTATAAGTAGAGGTGTCTCCAGAAAGAGATTTGAAAACCCTTACCTTCTTCCTCGCCTCTTCGTTCTCCTTATGTCGGTGGAATGGAACCTTCTTCGAACTCATCCTAATCCTAACATAAAATTATCAACAGATCATCAGAATATGAGTAGCAAGCACTTGAAAATCTTATTACTCTACCACCCTGCATGCCATGGGCGGATCTAACATGGGACATGGGGGTTCATTCAGTTCAACCCCCAAACTTTTTGGGAACAAACAAACTGTTATTAGTAGTATTAAGGTTAAGGCAAATTTCTAGAACAGGAGCTAGGGTTAACGCAAATTCGATAAAAAAAAAAAGTGCGTGGGTCGAGAGAGATGGGAAAGAGGATGTGCTAACCAGGATGCTCGCTTGCGGGATGGATGGGGATCGGCGCAGGCGGCGGCGGCGGTGGCGGCGGAAGCAGCAGGATGAGCGACGGCGGCGCCTCTGCTCGCTCGAGGGACGGATTGGGGATCGGAGCAAGGCCCTGCCCTGGGACGACCTACTGATTTTTGTTGCCTCTCTAAACCCGACCGACCTGTGTTCCAACCGGTGAATTATAGAGGTGTCTCCCGGCCCGGCACGAGGTCAGTCGAGCCGGCACGGCCCGACCGTGCCTTGCCAGCCCACAGGCTGCACCCACGGCCCAGGCACGGCCCAATAAAAACGGGCCGGCCCGAGGGCACGGCAGCCCATCGTGCTTCTCTATAGAATAAGTCTATTTGTACTCCCTCAACTCTTTGGGCTGTGTCTTACATGGCTGCCTGGCTGGAAAAAATCTATTTTGTATTCCTCATTTTTTTTTGGCCTTGCCTTATATGGTTGATTAAGTCTAATTTGATCCCTCTACTATATTTTCTTCGACCGCGCCATGCTGGATCGGCCCACCGTGCCGAAGCATCGACCTAGGCATGACCCAACTATCGGGTCGTGCCGTGCTTGGACCGGGCCAAATGGTCGTGCCTTGGGCCGGGCCATCAGGCCTCGAACCTTATGGCTATAATAATGTTATACTATATTTTATTTACTCTATGCTTTGAAAAAATATTTTGTATAAATATTTTTATATGTCACTTGTTATGTTGATATATGTTAAGTTTATTTTAAATTTGTTCTAATGCCAAGTAGATACTCAATCTGCTCAATAAACTGTTTCATATTAAGTATTAGACTTTCTTCGTTTTCTAGTGGATAGGCAGTAGCTTATCCCAGCAACACAGCAGAACGTAGCCTTAATCAGCCAAATGAGTATCTTAGCTTCATGGTGACTAACTTGTGGTTTTACACGCTCGTTGAATTGCCCTACCTCACATAGCCTATTCATATGCCTCGCAGTTTAACATAGTAATAAAAACATGGTTAAAAACACATGCATCTATAAATTACTGGTGAAAGTCTCTTCGGTTTTCACGATAGTGTTGACATTGGACTAGCCTGATTTATATGGAATATACATGTGGCTTTTTTGCCTTTTTTTTCTCTTACTCCTAGCCTACTAGTAAAAAATGCGGAGTTTAAGGCTTTAGGCGACAACATGATGACTTCTTCTGCATGCACAAACTAACTACTATCTTGTTACTTGATGATGGAAGTAAATTGATAATTTTATTTTGAATTGGTCACTCTATTTTTTTACTTGAATATATTGGACGCGTTCGCTAGTTATTGCTACAGTTGTGTTACATGTTGTGTGTGGCGGCGGCAATACAGTGCATGCGCAATACAACCAATCAAACATGTTCATATATTAGAATCAAACTCATTGGTAATGATATGATATTTATATTTTTTGTATAGTAAATAAATAATATAACAACAAAATTCATAAAGTCACATCGAAAATAATTATAGTTTAGAGAAAATTGGACACTCACGTGAAAAAACCGGAGGGGAAGAAATCCACGGTATTCTATTCCCTACGCCGCTTACCCTTCCACCGGAAGCAACACTCTCCTCTCCTCCAATAATTAACTCCAACGTAAATTCTGTAATCTACAAGGACCCATTCGCAAAAACATCCCCGCAGCAATTCTGTATACTACTCCCGCACGGTAAGCTAAGCCTAGTCCACTTTTCTATTCAACCCCTCGACATCTCCCTTTATTTACTTTGCCTCCTTCCCCTTCTCGTCCTCCTCTTCCTCATCCTCCTCTCTCTCTCACCCCTCGGTCTCGCTGGTTCTTGCTAACGCCACGCACGCTCGCTGCTGAATCCGTCTTCCCGGCGAAGAAGGAGGAGGAGGAGGGATCCCGGCGAGGCGGTTGTTCGCGCGTGACCCGCTCGGTGAGGTGACCCTCTCGGCGGAGGAGTCGGATTGCGTCTTGGAGACCGGTTCCGTCTTGTGGATGGTCTTGGTGATCGAGAAGAAATCCGTGGCGGGTTGGTGAACCGGAGACGGGGAGGAATTGGGGGAAGGGAAGGGGGGAGGAGGAGGAGGAGCTGTGTGTTCTTGGGTGGGCGCGCCGCGCGTTCTTGCGAGATTGGGTGGTTGGTTTTGATTGTGGTGGTATGGTAGAAAAACTGCAGATTTAATCTGAACTGCGTTGGGGGGAGTGGAAGAGGAGGAAGAAAGATCGGGTTTCGAGGCGGGGGGGGGGGAGATGAGTTCCGGGTCGGCGGTGACGGGCGGCGGCGGCGGCGGGGCGGAGGACGCGGCGGCGGTGGCGCTGGGGCAGAAGCTGCCGGTGCACGTGGCGGAGAACGGCCACACCTTCGAGTTCAAGTGCGGCGGCGAGACCCCCGTGGAGGCAATCCAGCGCACCATCGAGGGCCTCTGCGGCATCCCGCCGGCCGACCAGCTCCTCCTCTGCGGGAACACCTCGCTCGACGGCGCCCACCATCTCGCCTACTACCAGCTGCCCCGCGACGACCGGGAGGTGTTCCTGTACAACAAGGCCCGGCTCCACGACGGCGCGCCGCGCCCCGCGCCGGAGTCGATCGAAATCCCCCAGCCGTCGATCCCGCCGCCGCCCCGGCCACAGGATTCCCCGCCGCTGGATGTGTCCTCCGACCCGGCGCTGAAGGCCCTGGTGTCCTACGAGACCACGTTCAGATACCACTTCCAGGTGGGGAATGCCGTGTATCAGTCTAGCGTGGCGAAGCACGAGGTGTGCTGCCGGCTGCTGCGGGAGGGGCAGGTGCAGGAGCGGGCACTCGACACCGCCCGGAGCAACCTGGAGCACACGGCCCGGAAGCTCACGCAGCGGTATTCGGATTTCGTCAAGTGCTTCTCGCAGCAGCATCGTGGCCATGCCGAGATGCTGGCGAATTTCGAGAGGGATGTGGAGAGGCTGCGCGCCGTGAGGCTTCACCCGGCGCTGCAATGCGAGGGGAGGCGCTCCTTGATTGACCTCGTTAAGGAGAATGACCTGAGGAAGCTGGCAGATGGGTGCTTCAGCTCACATAAACAGTTTGATGTTAAGGTCTCACAGCACAAGGCCAAATTCATGGAATTGAAGAAGAGGCTTGAAAATTTGTTTAATATTATGAGCTCGACTGGGTGCAAGGATCTTGAGGCGATGATAAAGGAACACGAGAAATTCATCGGTGACCAGAAAATCATCATGCAGTCTCTAAGGTTAGACCTAGGCTTTGAACATGTTTTTTACCTAGTTATCTTGCTGTTATGTTACATGCCCTCCCTGAACTACTATTACTAGTGAATTCCCTGAATCATCTAAATTTAATAATTACTAGTGAATTCCCTGAATCATCTAAATTTAATAATTTACGCTATGCCTTTGTTCTATGGCTTCACTAAACTACTTAGGAGAAATTTGGAAAATTGTGCTTCTATTGTGTCACTACACGTTAAGTGTCACCTTCCACTCGGAACTACTTTTACTAATGATTGATCTGGATCATAGGTGCGGCGTGTTTTGTGCTGTAGATCTTCATGAAACTACTTAGGATGAGGAAATGTTTCAGCATGGTTAGTTGATGGTTTTGCAAAAGGAATAGGAAATCTTTCAGCGTGGTTACTTGATGTCTGCAAAAGGAATATAGCTTGTCATCGTACTTACTTCATTTGTTTAATTATTTCATGCACTACGGTTTTCTACACTAATTGCAATGTGCTCAGTATGACCAAGTGTTTTGATGCTTATATGATTATATGTTATATCCCACTCTAAGCTGGAATATCTTGTGTCCTGCAGTAAAGATGTGACTACTTCAAAAAAGCTTGTTGATGACTGCTCAAACTGCCAGCTTTCTGCATCTCTCCGCCCTCATGATGCGGTTTCTGCAGTTGGCCGCATCTATGAAGTACATGAAAAGGACAACTTGCCCAGTGTCCATAATATCGATCGCTTGTTCACAAAGTTGCTGGAGAAATGCAAAGCCAAGAAGAATGAAATGAATACCTTGGTACATGTTAGCATGCAAAGGGTCAAATCTGCTCAGATTGTTATCAAGGAAATGATGAACGAACTCCATGCATTCCAAGAGGTGATGGGTCATCAAGATAAAATTTTCGATAGCCTAAAACTTGCCAGTGGCATGGGTCATGCGTACAGGGCTTGTCTTGCTGAGGTCGTACGAAGAAAGTCTTCTTTTAAGCTTTATACTGGCTTGGCAGGGCAGCTTGCTGAAAAGCTAGCCACTGAGCGTGAAGCTGAGGTAAGAAGGCGAGAGGCCTTCTTTAGGACATGGAGTAAGTACATTCCAGAAGATATCATGGGTTCCATGGGACTTTTTGATTCCCCAAGCCAGTGCGATGTAACAGTTGCTCCATTTGATTGCAATCTTCTCTCAATTGATGTTGATGATGTGGAAAAACTTGCACCCCAATCTTTGGTCGGGTCTTTTCTGAAATCTGAGAGATCACAACTGCCAAAGTCCTCCTTGAGCAATTCTGGTACCAGTGGAAATTTGAGTAAATCCGAGCAATATCCGCCGAATGCTGATGATAAGATGGATTTCCAAGACTTTCTGGGGGGTTTTGACAGTGTGGATATTGCTGGAACTAGTAAATTGGAAGTTGAAAATGCCAGATTAAAAGCAGAACTTGCTTCTGCAATTGCAGTTCTCTGCAGTTTTGGCGCCGAATATGGATATGAATCTATTGATGAAGGGCAAATTGATAATGTACTGAAAGATGCAAGGGAAAAAACAGCTGCAGCACTTTCTGCAAAGGATGAGTATGCTAATCACCTGCAGGCAATGCTTACAGCAAAGCAGAATCAAAATTTGTCCTATGAGAAGCGCATCCAGGAGCTTGAGGAGCAATTAGCAAACCAGTACATACAAGGGCACGTGATTTCTGGAAGCAAAGATGCATCTGATTCCCTCCTTTCTGCATTTAAAGCTAATGACTGCAACTTGCACATATCTGGAGGGAGGCAAACCCAAGTACGCGATGAATCAAGTGTGGCCATGGATGAGGCCTCTTCAACATCTGAGCAGCCATCTAAACAAACAGAAGGTGGGGATGAGAATATGACCGACATTTCAGGTGCACTGAACTTGCAATTGCTCGATCCAATAGCACGCACTAATTTGGATGCTTTCATGGCAGAATTGCCACCTGATAGTGAACATAAAATTGTTGATTCTGATAAGGAAGGGCAAGTATTGACACAGTTTACTACGACTGATACTTCTGGGGTTCCTATAGAAGATCCTCTTGGCATCTTAAACTCCAGAACTAACGAGCATCATACCTCAGAGCTGAGAAACAAAGAGCTGCTTGTGTCAGAGTTGCAAAGTACTCTGGAAGACAAATCAAAAAGGTTAGATGAAACTGAAAGCAAGCTTAATGCCTTGGTGGATGAGGTCAACTCTCTGAAGAAAGAACTTGAACACACCCAGGGTCTGCTTGATGAGTCTCAGGTAAGTCAAGTGGGAGGTAGAATATTCAGCAATAGTTTTTTTTTTCATGCTCAATTGAAATTGCTGCTTACTTTCTTTTACAAATTTTAATATAGATGAACTGTGTGCAACTGGAGAACTGCTTACACGAGGCAAGAGAAGAGGCCCGCACAAACAAATGTTCAGCTGACAGAAGGGCTGTTGAGTATGATGCCCTGCGTTCATCTGCTCTGAGGATACATGGTCTGTTTGAGAGACTAAATAACTGTGTCACTGCACCAGGCATGTCTGGTTTTGCGGACTCACTGCGTGCTTTAGCTCTCTCATTAGCAAGGTATCTTACTGCTCTCATTCGCTTAAACTCATGTGTAGTCAGTTCTGCATTTCATTTACAAACCACCCACCCCCAAGTTCGTTGTGCTGTTGGGCTTGATCCATGCCAAGTCTATGGAACTGATAAAATAAACAAGAAAAATAGGATCGAAGGAACTTCTAAGATTTGCTGTATCTTGGTTCAACATATCCAAGTTATTAGTGATTTGTGAGTTGGCAGTCAGTGAGACCGACAAAATAAACAGCAGAATAGAATTCATGGTAGCTTCCAGGAAGTATGTCCAGATTTTCTGTATCTTGGCTCATTGTTGAGATTTAGAGAGGCGCTGGATGTTATTTTAGCGAGACATTTTTGCATAATTTGTAGTAAACAGAGCTAGGAAGATGTTAGATGTTATTTAACCTTGGCATGCTTTCTACAGTGAGTAGTAAACTGTTCTTATATTTTGGGAGATGTTCTTATATTTTGGGACGGAGGGAGTAGTAAACTGTATTTTGTGCTTACAGTGAAATATTGGTCGTCAAAATAATTTTGTGTTCCTTCAGATGATTGTATGTTTTTGGTCTTTTTGCTCAGAGTAGTTTCCTTTGCATAGAGTTCTGTTACTTTATAAAAGTATTAGCATTTTCTTCCTTTGGATCCCCTACTGCTGTAGAGTTATCGAAACAGCAGATTTACTGGCTGAGTAATACTTTTTTATTGAAACAGTGCAAAGAAGGATGAAGGTGATACAACCATTCAGTTTCAGCAATGCATCAAGATCCTGGCAGACAAAGTTGGTTTTCTATCACGACAGAGTGCTGAGCTGCTAGAACGCTACTCAAGGATTGTAAGAGTGTTGGAGGAGAAGAAAGAGTCGATTAAAAATTTGTACAGTAAGCTTCAACTGGAAAAACAGGTACGAGTCGTAACTTCTTAAGCCACTGTTTTTATTAAAATAAATGAATTCATAAGAAGCCAATTACTTTGAAATTGTTTTAGTTTAAATTCCGCGCTAATCAATAATAAGCACATATTACTCTATGGGTTAGGTTGAGTCTGTTAAATTTTGTTGATTGAAATAACAAGACAGTATCCTCGGTTGTCAATACTGTTCAACAGGCTAGTAAGGAGAAGATATCATTCGGCCGTTTCGAAGTTCATGAGCTCGCGGTCTTTGTTCGGAACCCTGCTGGGCATTACGAAGCAATCAACCGGAACTGCTCAAACTACTACCTATCAGAGGAATCAGTGGCCCTATTCACGGAGCAGCATCCACGGCACCCAGCTTACATAATCGGGCAGATTGTGCACATCGAACGGCGCATAGCAAAGCTGCCCTCGCACGGTGACCAGATGGAAGCTTCACGCCTTGATAGCGGTGGCCGCCGGTCGCCCGCTTCCATGCTGAACCCGTACAATCTGCCTGTGGGATGTGAGTACTTCCTGGTGACGGTCGCGATGATACCTGACAATATTCGTTGAAAACGCCTTCCTGATCATGCCTATGGCTGCTGAAATGAAGGGAGAAACTCTCAACTGTAAATATACTGAAACTGAAATTTATAGACTTCCTTGGTTGCTTGTGGCTTCTTCATCCTTTGTACATAATGATGATGATCAGGTTCCTTTGTAAATAGACTCTCAGCTACCACTGATGTTATCATCTTCGTTCAAGCAGACTGAATATTCTTTCATATCATTGTCTTGCTTTTGTTAGTGCACTTGCTTGGTTTGATGTTGAGCATATGTTCCATTGCTGTGCTGCTGTTGGACCATATGATTGATCTGTTGATTTCTCCCTGGCATTTTTCGTTGTGAAATCTAGGGGCTGTTCACTTCGTTCCCAAAATAAATCAAACCAAGTTTTGGGTTTACTAAAATTTTTTTGGCAAGGTAAGTAATCTAAAGATTACCAAAATTTGTCTCCATTATCAAAGTTTGGTAATTCTAGAATCTCTCACAAAAACTTGACAAAGAGAACAAACTAAACAAGCTTACACTTTTCAACCTTATACAAATTTTGGTAATGTTGATTTAGATATCAAAGTGAATAGCCCCCTAGTTTAGTAAATTTTAACATATATACTACTAGGCCCCTGGTAAGTGTATTTAACAATGCTAGTATGTGCGAACAATTGTTTCTGCAAGAACAACTTATGTAAATACCCGCCAATTTGGCCATCTAATTTTGACCGGGACCACTTTGGCCATCTAATCCTCTCGGGCACGATAGAAAATGGCAGCTGAGGCAATATCATGTGATTAACTCTTATAAGTCAAAATAAACCTTTTCTTTTTTCCTTAGATGGAGGACACATATACACCCTCCGTTCCATAAAAAAAAAATCTAATTATATCTATAGATTCATAACCAAAAGTTATTGTTTTTTTGGAGGGAGTATGTCACGCTCGTAAACAAACCATCTGACTTTGTGCAGTTTGCACATGTATCACTAACATGTGAACTCTACTTTACTATAACCCACATGTCAATGGCACAACTGCCAACCGTATACTCATAGAAACCTACCACACTCGTGTAGCCGTGAAAGCGTCCTCTAACACACACTTCATTAATACCCCCTCCGTCCCATAAAAACCTAATCCTACCAACGAATCTAGACACATGTTTGTCCAGGTTCATAGCCAAGATTGGCTTTTTTTAGAACAGAGTAGTAGACATCAAGATTGAACCTACTGGATGATGTTACGTATCCACTGCTCCTCCACCTACAATAATACCGGTATTTTCAAGTAAAATCCATTGTGCATTGTTCTATTGTTCGAAATGTTGAATGGAACAAAATGCTATGTTGAATAGCCGAATGATTCGAGGGAACGAACGAATTGAAAAAAAAAATCAATTAATACGTACTACCTCCGTTTCATCAGGTTATAAGACTTTCTAGCATTGCCTATATTCATATATATGTTAATGAATCTAGACATAATATACTTCCTTCATTTCACAATGTAAGTCATTCTAGCATTTCCCACATTCATATTGATATTAATGAATCTAAATAGATATATGTGTCTAGATTCATTAACATCAATATGAATGTGGAAAATACTAGAATGACTTAAACTGTAAAACGGAGGGAGTATATGAATATGAGTAATGATAGAAAAATCTTATATTCTGAAACGGAGGAAATATTATATAAAAGTTATATGTGTAATTTTTTTTTAAAAAAAATCACCATGTTACTCAGAAATTAAGTGCACGAATTCTCAAAGTCATCCCGTTCTCGCCTTCTCGGAAAGAATGATGAAGTCCAGTCTCCAGATCTGCAACGCTTGAGTAGGGGTGGAAACGAGCCAAGCCGAGCCAAGCTCGGCTCGGCTCGTGAAAGCTTGCTCAACTACAGGCTCGGCTTGGCTCGGCTTGATTAATTGAACGAGCAAAAAGTGCAGCTCGGCTCGGCTCGTTTCAAAGCTCGAGCCGGCTCGAGCCAGCTTGTGATGTACAGCAGCAAGTAAATACTTCAACAATAGAGCAATCAATTAGCAAGCCAAATCAACATGTACGATCAACAAGACAGCAACAACATATTATACATTTCACAAGCTGACAAGATCACAACTTCACAAGACCACAATTCCACAATCTCCATCATTCATTCACAGCCTCACACTCACAGGACATGTCCCAACATGACACACATAATCTTAATAGTCATGACCACACCATAATAGAAGCATAGAGTAATATAGTTATAGTCTTATAGAGAGTACATAACTTAGAGTAGACCACATTCCAAAAGTCCAAAGTCTCCATTCTCAAATTCACAAAATAATTATAGAACATCTAATTATTATTTCGCAAAATATTAAAAGGAACTCTCCAAATCTCCAACTCCTAGACTTTCTCCACACTCCACAGCAACATGTTCCAGCCATGAGCCATCCATTTGCCTACATAAATGATAAATCATCATGTAATCACAAGCGAGCAAATGATAGTAAAGAAATAGGAAAAAAAATGAGTGAAGTACTCCATTTACTTACTAGTTGCTTTGCACTACACTTTGAGGAAATGTAATACTCTCAACATCCTCTTCTTCTTCTGCTGCCTGAAATTCAGAAAAATCAAAAGTTAATTCAGCTACTCATGTCATGTGTTAAGAAGAGAATATGCATTAAATATGCATGGCATAATAGTGAGTACCGTAATCATTGGAGCGCCTCTAATCCAGCTAGAAGCACATATCAACGCCTCAACCATTGTTGGGCATAGAGAACTACGATAATCACTTAGAACTCTTCCCCCAGCACTAAAAGTAGATTCTGATGACACTGAACTGGCTGGTATAGTCAAAAAGTTCTTAGCCATTCAACTTCCACCACACAAGTAGATCAAAAGCTTTGTTCGCTAAGTCCTCATTTCGTTCATCAAGATATAAAAGCATCTCAGACTTTGATGCATCTTCAGAAGAAGATTGCAAATAAGACTGAAAATTGCTTGAGACAGAGGGTAGAGACTTGTTTATGTCAGAAGTTGAAACTGATGATGAAGCTCTCAAGCTCCTACCTTTGCTAGCTGCCATCTTTTCCCTATGCTCCTTCTCAAACTTATCATAAAGTGTATTCAATTCAGTTCGAACTTCAGCTAACTCCTTTTCAAAATCAGTTGGATAAATCTTCTTAAAACACCATTCAATGAATCTTAACTTGTACCTTGGGTCTAGAACAGTAGCAAGCACCATTGCATTGTTTTTCACATTCCAATACTTGTCAAATTTATCCAACATCGCTTTTCCCATATTCTTCAAATTAGCATCTTGTGAAGCACAAGCATCTCTCAAAGCAACTTTCACATTGACAATATGGGGGTAAAAAATATTTGCAGTGGGATAGGTTGATCCTGAAAATGCAGTAGTAACCTCAGCCAAAGACCCAAGTATTGGCTCAATTGATGCATACAAATCCCACTCTTCTGGGCTGGGCTTCCACTCATAATTTAAATCTGTTTCTGCATATGAATCTAATGCTTGCTGATATGCAATGCAAGTTCTCAACATATGATAAGTTGAACTCCATCTTGTGGTCACATCAAGTTTCAGGCCCTCTCCCAATTCCATTGCAAGATTTCTACAGATTTCTAAAAACTTGTGTATACGAGATGGAGATTTCTTGATGTACTTAACAGTAGACCTTATGTTCTTTGTCAAAGATGCCAAGGGTGCTAAGCCATCATTCACAATTAAATTAATAATGTGAGCACAACAACGAACATGGAAGTATTTAGCATTGTAACAACTTGATCGTCTAGCTGCTAGCTTAGCTTTTAAACCCTTGACAGCTGTATCATTGTTGGAAGCATTGTCAAGAGTAATTGTTATAACCTTGTCTTCAATTTTCCATTCAGCTAGACAATCAAAGATGGCCTGACCTATGACATTCCCAGTATGTGGAGGATCCAACTCTGCAAAGTTCAGCACTCGGCATTGCATTGTCCAATTTTTATCTATGTAATGGGCAACCAACGCCATGTAGCAAAGGTTTTGATTTGATGTCCACAAATCACATGTTAAGCTAATCACTTCCACACTCCTAATACTCTTCATGAGGTTTTCTTTCTCAGAATGAAAAACCTTCAAGCATTCACTTCTTATGGTCTTTCTACCAATAAACTGATATGAAGGGTTTAAATACCTCATCACGACATTGAACCAAGTATGCTCTACCATCCTAAATGGGTACTCATGAACAATTATCATCTTAGCTATCAGTTTACGAGTTTCCTCATGGTTATACTCACTAGGGGTGACAATGAGAGGGATATCTGAGTCACCTTTCTCTGCCGTGAAGTTGAGAACAGCTTGAGCCCTCTTCTTGGCCAACTGGTTCAAGTAAGGCGTGCACTTGTTCATGTGCCTCACAAGATGTGTAGTAGCTCCCCCAGCCTTGTAAGCATACAATGAATGGCAATACTTGCACTTAGCCTTTGTTTCTGTCTCCCCTGGAGTTACCTTGGAAGTAACTTTAACCTCGGTGAAGTTATTCCAACAAGTTGACCGCTTCCTCCCCTTTACAGTAGCAACTTTGGGTGAAACCTTTAGCTTCTTTCCTCTTCGGCGTCCACCCAATGAATCCCCTCCAGAAGCATCACTAGTACCACCAGTCGCTGCCTCATCACCACTTGGCATTGACATTGACATGTCATCAATGTGATCAAAAGAATTATCCTTTGAATTATCGTCATCAATCTACAGTTCATAAACAAAACAGAATTTAATCAATGCATATCGACATGCAATTCATTTATTCATTTTAGAACTAAGGTCATGTAGGGCAAGTACTGTACCAAGGCTATTATTGGAGATAATGGTACATCACAATCTTTGTATGCCATATCACTTGTCGTAGACCCTACAACTGCTTGGGAGGAGGCACCAGTAGTAGAGAATGCAGAAGCACCGACGACGTTACCATCTGAAGCACCAATTGATTTGGATTTGGATCTATCAACATATTTAAAGATGAGTCAAAATTATAAACAATGGAAAAACAAGAGTGTGAAGTATATGCAGTGCAGTATAACAACTAACAAAGAGTCGCAGACTCGCAGTCTCACTCTCATATATAATATACTACACAAAACACATGGCTCAAAGCCTCAAACTATAGTATTGGTACAACATTTTTGATTTATTTGCCTCATTCTTTCTGTAATTGAATCATTGACAGTTTGACACTGACACACACACACACACGCTACTCCACTGACCACAACAATCTACAGCTACATGCCTACATGTACATGCATCACAAAAATGAGAAAATACATCACGAACCTCTTCATCCTAGGCTCGTCGTTGCGGTGTGATGCATGAACTGTCGTCGATCGGTTGGCGACATGGCGTCTCGGCGAGGTCATGATGGACGGCGTCGAGTCAGGGACGCCGGCGATGCAGGGGGCGTCGAGCTCGGCTCGAGCGGCACTGGGGACGGTGGACGGAGGCCGGAGGTGGTGCAGGGAACTAGGGAAGGGAGGCGGCGCCGCGGTGGGCCGACGGCACAGGGGGCGTCGCCGGGGAGGGAGGACGGAGCCGACGCAGCCACAGTAGGGGAGGTAGGCGGCGCAAGGAGCGAGGCGGCACGCCCGCGGCGCAGCCGCGCAGGGAAGGGAGGTGGCGGGCCGGCGGCGGCGGCACAGAGGGGGCTTCGAAGTTCGAACGGCGCTGCCGGCCTGCCGCTGGCGGTCTGGCGCTGGGGAGGGGATGGATGCGGCGGCCGGCAACTCCTCTTGCCAGTCACCGCCAGCGCCACTGCGCTAGTGGCTGAGGAACGGAGGAAGGGGATTAGGGGAGGGATCGGATCTGGGGCGTCAGGTGCTCACGGCTCGCGCTCGGCTCAGCTCAGGACTTAGGGTTTCTCTCTTTCATGGGCCAGACAATTGTTAATGGGCTTGGGCTCGCTTAGGGAACTCAGTTTTCCATAGGCTTGACAAGCCTACCGAGCAGCTTGCGAGCTAGCTCGGGCTCGGCTCGGTTTGGAAACGAGCTGTGGAGGGAGCTCGGGCTTGGCTCGTTTAGTCTTCGAGCCGAGCCGAGCTTCGCGAGCTCAAGCCAAGCCCGAGCCGAGCTCGCGAGCCCGAGCTTTTTGTCCACCCCTACGCTTGAGTCACTAGAAAGAAAAACAAAAAGACGACAGCTGTTTCAAACTACAGTAGAAAACACATAGTCTTTCGATCACGCTACATGTGCTCCACGACGAGAAAAACAAAACCAAAAAAAAAAAACGAAATGATCCTTGCCCGCCACGGTACACGAGTCCTACTATCCATACACACCCGTCCTATGCCGGTTCATTTTTTTTTTATTTTCTCCTTTTTTTTTTCCCTTGATACGCTAATGTCGGTTCATTTCATCCATGCCAACTTGCCGAGCACTACCGACCTAGACCGCCTTGGCTGCCACGAAACCCCTCCCTATATAAGCCACGCGTCCTCCTCCACCAACACATCCACATCAACCCAGCGGGCTCAACTCCAAAGCCCATCCACTACCCAGCCCAAACCCAGCCCTCTCTCTCTCTCTCTCTCCATGGCCGCCACCGCCATCGCCACCCTCCTCGGCCCACCGGAGGCACGCCGCCCCTCCGCTGCGGTGGCCGCCGCGCCGGCGACGACCACGGGCGACGCGTTCCTCGACCTGATGGACGCCAACTTCAACAAGCCGGCGCCGAGGAAGGCGCTCACGGAGAACCTCTCGCCGACGTTCGTGTCGTCGGGGGACGCCTGCCTCGACTTCTTCTTCCACGTCGTGCCCGGGACGCCCTCCGCCGCCGTCGCGTCGCTGCTCGCCGCCGCGTGGGGCGCCGACCCGGCGACCGCGCTCCGGCTGGTGGCCAACCTGAGGGGCGTACGCGGCACCGGCAAGTCGGACCGCGAGGGGTTCTACGCCGCCGCGCTCTGGCTCCACAGCCACCACCCCGCCACCCTCGCGCTCAACGCCGCCTCCGTCGCGGCCTTCGGCTACCTCAAGGACCTCCCCGAGCTCCTCCACCGCATCGTCAATGGTGGGTTGTCCACGAGGAAGCCCGGGAAGAAGGCGCGCCTCGCCGCCGCTGATGGCATCGGCTTCATCGCCCGCCGTGGCCGTGGCCGTGGCCGCGGCCGCGGTTGCTTCCGTGGCCGTGGACGCGGTTTCGCCCGCGGCTACCACACCAGCAGCAGGAAGCAGTCGCGCGGCGTCGGTTCGGCGGAGGAGCGCATCGCGGCCAGCCTGGAGCGCGACGGGAGGCTAGCGGCGAAGGCGGCGGTGGAGCGGCGGTGCAGGCGGGCGGAGGCCGCGGCGAGGGCGGTGGAGAGGTACAGCCGCGACCCTACCTACCGATCCCTGCACGATCGCACGGCCGATCTCTTCGCCGACCTCCTCCGCGACGACATGCGCAAGCTCGCCGAGGGCAACGTCCACGAGTTCTCGCTCGCCGCCAAGTGGTGCCCGTCGCTGGACAAGTCGTACGACCGCTCCACCCTCCTCTGCGAGGCGATCGCGCGGCGCCTCTTCCCCAAGGGCTCGTTGCCGGAGCTCGCCGCGGACCTCCCCGACGCGCATTACGCCTACCGCGCCCGCGAGCGCCTCCGCAAGGCGGCGCTCGTGCCGCTCCGCCGCGCGCTCAAGCTCCCGGAGGTGTACATCTCGGCGCGCGCGTGGGAGTCGGTGGTGTACACGCGCGTCGCCTCCGTGGCGATGAAGAACTACAAGGACCTCTTCCTCAAGCACGACGCCGACCGCTTCAACGCCTACCTCGCCGACGTCAAGTCCGGCAAGAAGAAGATCTCCGCGGGCGCGCTGCTCCCGCACCAGATCATCAGCTCCCTCGACGACGACGGCGGCGGCAGCGGCGTGGCCGACCTCCAGTGGCAGCGCATGGTCGACGACATGCGCGCCCTCGGCAAGCTCCGCAACTGCGTGGCCGTGTGCGACGTGTCCGGCAGCATGACCGGCCTCCCCATGGACGTCTGCGTCGCGCTCGGCCTCCTCGTTTCCGACCTCAGCGACGACCCGTGGCGCGGCCGCGTGATCACCTTCAGCGAGAGCCCACAGCTCCACCACATCGTCGGCGAGGCACTCTCCGACAAGGCGCGGTTCATCCGCGAAATGAACTGGGGCATGAACACCAACTTCCAGGCGGTGTTCGACAAGATCCTCGAGGTGGCCGCGGGCGCCGCCCTCTCGCCGGACAAGATGGTGCGCCGCGTGGTGGTGTTCAGCGACATGGAGTTCGACCAGGCGTCGGCGCAGCCGTGGGAGACGGACTACGAGGCGATCGTGCGCAAGTACACGGCGGCGGGGTACGGCGCCGCCGTGCCGGAGGTGGTGTTCTGGAACCTGCGGGACTCCAAGGCCGTGCCGGTCACCTCCGGCCAGAAGGGGGTGGCGCTGGTCAGCGGCTTCTCCAAGAACCTCCTCAAGCTGTTCCTCGACGGCGACGGCGTCGTCTCCCCGCGCGCCGTCATGGAAAAGGCCATCTCCGGCCCGGAGTACGACAAGCTCGTCGTCTTCGATTGAGAAGATGGCAGCCCCTGCAGCCCTTTCCGTCTCGTGTTCTTCATCTTTTTGTAAAGTTTGGGGAAGTTTTGTAAAAACTAGCAAATCTTCTCTAAATAAAGGATCGGAAAATTCGGTGCATACCACAAATCGTCCTCATATCAGTCATCGCCGTCGTTCTGGCCTCCTTTGGAACGGACGAATTTCATATGAATTTTGTGAAAATTGAACTAGTTAATACAAAATTCATTTAAAATTCATGCGTGACAACCCCTTAAATTCAGATCTCGCATTAATAAACGAAAAGGAAACCAGAACTTCCAAATTGAAGGAAACCAAAACTTCCAAAGTTCACCGGGATTTGGAGGCACGACCTTTTTTGTACTGTAAATCAATTTCTTCATCGTCCTCAATTCATCACATATAGATGTTCGATCGATCGAATGACACAAGGTCACACACCCTGATCCTGAATCTCATCTAACACTGCTCCATTCTTCTAAATTTGAATATTGTTTGAATCATCAAAACGCAATGAGCAAAATGCCTAGGAGAGGAGAGTCGCCTACGACGTCGCGCTGCACGCGGCGGCCACCGTCTCCCGCCAGTTGAGCAGCACGTCGACGGCGACGTAGTGCGTGACGGCCCCGACGAGCACGAGCACGTGGAAGATCTGGTGGCTGTGGCCGACGACGTCGAAGACGCCCGGGCGCCACTTCTCCGGCACGCGGCTGACGTAGAACCAGGCGCCGGCGGCGTAGGCGAGCCCCATGGCGACCTCGAGCGAGAGCGCCAGGTAGCAGGCGGCGTGGCCCCAGTTGAGCCACAGCGCGTGCAGCGCCGGGACGACGCCGGAGAGCCCCATGGCGAGGAACAGCGCGGCGCGGAGACGCCGGAACCGCGGCGACGAGCAGGGCGGCGAGAGCAGCGCGCCGACGACGAGCGCGCCCAGCGCCGAGATGGCGGAGAGGTAGGCGACGCGCGCCGGGCGGTGGCACAGGAAGGCGTAGTACACCGGCGGGACGAAGGAGGCGACGATCATGGCGGAGATGCCGGCGTAGTCGAGCTGCCAGAACACCACGCTGGCGCGCCTGGAGTGGCACGCCAGCAGGTGCGCCGTCGCGCTGATCGCCAGGCACGTCATGGCGCCCACCAGGAACACCATCCGCGGCCACCGCGGCACGCCGTGCCCGCCGCCCAGCACCGCCGCCGCCGCTGCCGCCGCCGCGGCGTCATGGCTCGCCGCGCCCTGCATCCAATGCCACCTTCATTCACATCACTGTAACAACTGCATACTACCATGATGCTAAGTGCAAACACACCAACTCATATGCAAGCATAGTGCCACTTAAAAATAGTGAGCACAATTTTCAAGTTTCTTTTGAATTTCATCGTAATTTCTCAAAATAAAGAAGAAGAAGAAGAAATTGTTGAAGATTCATAGACGGATTGAGTCATTGGTCATCACAGAAATCAACGGCAGGATAGATACAAAGATTTGCCACTTGGTCTTGTCTGCTCATTGATCTGGGCCAGATGGCTGACAAAAGCTAGTGCTCATGGCAGGTGTCACTTCGTTCATTGTATCATTTCAGGAGCATTCGTGAAAATGCTGCAAACTATCTAGCAAATCTTAATTTGCCAATGATAAAAAGAAGGGACCAGCAAAGCAAAAGCCAAACGCTACATTTGTTTCCAAGAAGAGAGGAGTGTCTCCATCACAAGGTGAACTGTCTCACATGGCACCAAAAACACCTTGCTGCTTGTGATTGCAGTGTACAGTTTTTTTGTTAGAATCTGGCTGCTTTTGCTAGGTCTCCTTTGGAACATTACTAAATTTTTCGCAGGAGTTTCTGTTAAACTTCTACAGAAATCTGGGATATATTCTCGTGTTTCCAATAATCCAATGAGGTCCAAAGAGAACTCAAAACCGAATTCAGAACTGGCCTGCCAAGTACTGTACTACTACTCCAAAGTGTAAGTGTGGATAGATGCCGATTCATCAGCAATCATCATCATCCCTGTGGAAGTGTGGATAGATGCCTGGACAATTGTACCAGTGATACATGGAAAGCAGCAGAGGCATCTCCAAGACACCAAAGCTGATGAACATGTCCTCTCCTTGCAGCTTGCAGAATGCAAGGACAAGGATGACATATGTGTGTGTTCCCTAGCTAAGACCCTAGGTTGGCTGCAGCTCATCACGGCCGTTCATGTCCCTTTCTCACTTGCAATGGATGGTGGGACCCGGCTAGATTAATTCGTTAGCTTAATCAAGCTTTACTAATGGCGGTACGGCATAGTGCACCTATCTGAATGAGCAATGAAACCCGTCCCATATTGCCAAACTATGTCGTTCGTTACCTAGTGTCAAACAAAATTCTATGCAGTAAAGTTCCAACAATAATGGTGCATAAATAACTGCAGTTTTCTTCAGATATGTGCAGAGTAGCAAAGATTGCGAGCTGTGACAAGGGATATAATCTGCTGAGGAGTAAACAATTAAATAATTAATGATTGTTATTTCTTCTAGAGAGTGGATGTTTGTTTCAGCATCTCCGAAAAGTAATATGATGAGTCATGAAAATAACTAGTATCGCCGAAAGTAATACGAAAACAGGACATATTCATATATTCTTCGATTCGTTTCTTACCGAATGATCGTTAGTCTGCCAAGAAGCATTGGTTGATCCTACCACAAACCTGCAAAGAAAAGATAAGGATGACACAGAATTAAAGGGCCTTTGCGTAAACAGGAAAAAAAAAACCCTTCATTTTCTGGAGAGCTCATGACGAAGAAAAGGATTTAATTACATGAAGAACTAATGAGCATCCCATGTTCTTACTGAAAACCCCCCAACAAACTTAGAATTTGCACAACCAAAGCCATTGCATTTCCAAAGAGATACTCCATAATTCCATATTGTATTATAGTGGAGTACTATTTCCTTCATTGCCGACAAGAAAGGTATAGAGAATGAGACGATAATGTACCCCAGCTAGGAGTACACGTCCTGACCTTATTCTCGGACCTTGTTTGTGCGATTCTCACAATCTTGGACAGTGAATTATTCAGCTTATCCAGATTAGCATCACATGGGCAGCATGCCAGCATCTATCTTTTCCTGACTACTATGATACACTTGCACACCAACAATTCATAATCTATCTTGTCACCACAAATTTTCAATCTGCTGTATGCTACTCCATATCTCCAGTGTGAATGGTAATTTTGCAGTGGTATGCATGTAAGAATGCATTTGACCCTTCTGTAAATGTTAATAGTATTACATTTACGACAGCAAACATGTGCACGAACACGAACAGAAATTGTTTGGGAGTGGTTGGTAATCCCTACTCTAGGTGGTCCTCTATAGCTCTAGTGATACCACCAAGAACTTGCTCCCAAAAAAAGGGGTGTGGCAAACTTTGCGTGATTGTCCGTATGCGAAAGTTTGTCGTTTTGATTTCGACATGGTTATTAATAGCATAGAACTAATTTACAGAATAATCGTTAAAAAAACCAATATATAAATAATACAATAGCAAAATTGCGAAAGCATGTGAAAACAAGAACAATATAGGAAACTAAGCGGCAACAAATCAGTCAGTGGTAGGAGCTTATTCATTCGCAGAAGTAATCAAGTAACCAAAGCAAATATACTCCATATTTGAATATTTTGGGGTAAAAAGTAGTAAATACACATAATCTAGAGGGCACCACAGCAAAAGTCCCAAACATGAAAGCATCAAAGCAAATAGTATACACACTAGATAGACCTTTTCAAAGATACCTACTGGCACCCGGAAATCACGCGGTTATTTTTTTCTATTTGTAAGATTAAAAATGAATTAGAACAGCGAAGAGGATTGCATTTTAAATTGTGGAACAAGAAAGGAATAGAAATTGGGAAAAACATTTTTGAATAAGACTGTGACGTGGGTGGGATGTGATGTGTGTGGATGCAATGTATTTACCTGATGATCCCCGGCGCGACGTCGGCGGCGGCGTCGCCGGCGGCTCCGGCGAGCGCGAGCGCCAGGAAGAGCAGGAACCCACCGAGATGGCTGCATGGCATGCACAACAAACAATCGGCATGAAAATTGAAAAGCAAATCATCCACCGATGAGATGATGAGAAGGAGAGATTGAATGGAATTGGGAGGGGGATTGGGGGCGCGCACGTCCAGACGTTGAGGGTCTCGTTGTGCCAGGAGAAGGCGCTGAGGGCGGCGTCGCGGAGGGGCCACTCGGCGCGGTAGTAGCCGCGGATGAACTCGTTGTCGCGCAGGAAGTCCGGGAGCTCGTCGTACCCCACCAGCCGCAGCCGCCGCCCCCTCTCGGCGGCCGCCTCCGCCGCAACCACCACCCCCTCCTCCTTCGCCCCCTTCTTCTCCCCGCCCCCGCCTCCGCCGCCGCCGCAGCGGCCAGTGCGCCTCATCTCCGCCGCTGCCGCGGCCACCACCGCTCCCATCGCTCTCTCTCGCGCGCGCCTGCGTGCCTGGATGGGGAGGGAAGGGAAGGGAAGGGGGCGATGCGCTCCCGTCACGCGTGCGGCGAGGTTATAGGCGGAGGCGGAGGTGGTGGCGTGGCGTGGCGAAATCTTGGCGGGGAGCGCGCGCGCGGGCGGGCGCGCGGGCGACACGGGCGACGAGGCGAGGACGAGGACGCGGACGAACACGAGCGGGCGGCAGGGCACATGGGAGGGATGGGATGGGTGGGCAACTCTTCACCTGTTCCGTTGCACTTGCACAGCCTATTTTTTATCTGAGAAAATTCAACAAATGTAATCGATCCAATTACAAGAAATATTATCGATAAGGCTGTGTTTAGTTCACACCAAAATTAGAAGTTTGATTAAAATTGAAACGATATGATGGAAAAGTTAAAATTTTGTGTGTGTAGAAAAGTTTTGATGTGATAGAGAAGTTAGAAGTTTGAAGAATTATTTTGGAACTAAACACGGCGTAAGTAGAGTTCTATGAAATTGCATTATACAAGTGTTTTTGTTCTTAAAAATGCTATCTCCGTTAGGGTTCCGTTAGAATGAACGGTGCATTTAATGACACGGAATGGATAAAATCATAACGGCGATTGTATTTCTGGGACAAAAATCACTTGTACGATGGTATTTTTATGAAACCTGTACTCGTCAATAGTATTTCTCGGATTTGGGTTTTTATCAATGACATTTCTTAAATGTTCTCTTTCTATTTTCTTCTTGCGGAGAAGCACCTGACAGCTCAGCCGTCGGATTGTGGATCAGATGGTCTAGGATAATCGTTACGATATTTTTTTTTTCTTTGTGAGCGGTGCTTTGTGCTTTTGAGCTTATGGCTGTGTTTAGTTCAGCGCAAAGTTTGGATTTTGGTTGAAATTGGAGATGATGTGACTAAAAAGTTATGTGTATGACAGGTTGATGTGATGGAAAATGACCAAAGTTTGGATCCAAACTTTGGATCTAAACACAACCTATATTTTCCTGTGTGGAATGGCAATACTTGGAAAGAGCGCTGATACGTACTAAGATGTTTGAATCTCCTGATGATAAAGATGAAGATAAAAATTAAGTGTTTCACGTAAAACGAGGTGATAATAACGTGTGATTAATTGAGTTTTAATCGTTACAGACTTAAAAATGGATTAATCTTATATTTTAAAACAACTTTTATATAGAAAGTTTTCGTATGAAACACACCGTTTAACAGTTTGAAAAACGTGTCACGAGTATCTAAAAGCTTATCCAATTTTTGTTAGAGAAAACAAAAACAGGGCGTAGATTGGTTAAATCAAATTGATGTTGAAGAGGGGTTTGTTTGGCTTAAAGTGTTTGATACAATTGTGAACTGGGATAGATATGATGTTTGGTGATACATGCTAACATGCGGGTGCACATTTGGTAAGTGGAAGAAAAAAAAAAGCAACACATCTGGATGGATATGTGCGAGAGATAATTCCATTAAACATGGGTTACTTGCTTGCGTCTTTGAGATACAACGTGTGTTCCTATTGATAAGCATGATTACGCATGATTTGTTTTCGAGTGATGCATGCTTAAATTGTGATGGCCATATACATTGTACAGTGCAAGACGTCCACGTGTATGTTCTTTTATGAAAATTAAGAAAACCACATCTTAAAATAGTTCTCATGATAAATGCCTACTCATAGTGATCACTTCATAAAAAATCACTTATGTTCAGATTTAGTTCCTATTTGTTTCAGCTTAGCATTATTACAATCTGAATTATTAGAAGTAAGCTGAAACAAACAGAAAGCTTATTATGATATGTTATTACGATCTAAAAGCCAGATTACTATAATCTAGTAATCTGTTTTTTTAATTATTGTGTGGCTAACACCTAACAACCAGCTAATAATCCAGAGAAACAAACGGCTAACACTATGTCAACTTATTATAATTCATTTTATGGTAATATGACTCAATAATCTAGATTACAATAATCTTAAACTAAAACAAACATACCTTAAACTTAAACTTAGAAGTGTTGTTGTTGTTTTTTTTAACGGAGGATGTGTACATGCTTGGAGGTGCGCGATGTCACTTCGTTTCCTGATAATTCAAAATATAACATCTTTGGTTTTTTTTTTCAACATAGCTCACTGAATGCCAAGTAATACAAGTGTGTGATTGTGTACTTCAGATTTTAGTCACGCACGTTCAACCCGGGTATGAACTATGCCCTACGTTTTTCCTTTTTACAAAGGATACCTTCCTCGCAACTTGTTCGTAAAACTGGTATGATAAAAATTTAACTGTTTTTGTTATTGTTTAGACTGCCAATTTGCTGTTAAATTATCTGAGACGAACAGGACCGGTACATCGTTTCAAAAGGTTAGGGCCGTTGGGCCAACCACCAACCGTGTAGTTTATCACACTACTTTCTCTCGTACCACCAACCGTGTAGTTTACCAAATGGAGAATAATTAATTATTTATCACTCTTACGGATGGTGATAAATGATTTGCCACTAGACCTACATGTCATAGACATATGAGGACCCATATGTTATAAACAGCGAGTGGCAAATAATTAATTGACACATCTTAAAAGTGAATGTCCCCGTAAATGGAGTAATAACAAGTGAATTTTCTGGTTTCGTCAGGGTGGGTGGCTTGCACGCTTGGAAGAGACGGTGAGAGACGCTACTACTATACATGCTTACTTGGCGGAAGGAAGAGGAGGAGGATTCGTGAAAGATTGATCTCGTCAGCTTCGTTATCTCAAACTAATTAATCTTGTTTTTTTTTGTCAAATGCTCAAATGGCACGGTGATTTCATTTGCGCAGAACAGTTCGAGAGTTTTTTTTTTCAAAGAAAACCCTAGACATGGCCCGTTTGAAACATATCATTCACCAAATTAATTATTAATGCAGATTACCTACTTAATTATAAAAATAAATTAATTGTTTAACGAAATGAATACGGTGCAAAAGTTGTTTCTAAGAGAGCTTATACTTAGCTTTGTTGAGTAAAGGCCGAGATGATTATTCCATTATCTTAAAAAAAAGAGAGCTTATGTTTAAGACATGGAGCAAATAGTCCATGGCAACGATTTGATAAAGCGGCCAAAAATGAATGGAAAAACGCCGGTAATAATATGAGAGACAGTTTCGCTTTTTCCGCGATGGCCCAAAAAGTATATATTGGCTAGGTCCATTTCTGCCATGTGGGCCCATCTGGTGCCAACGCATGGCCAATTTATTAGTGGGCCGGGTCCACATTTTTAACATATGAGCCCAACCTACCAACAAATTAGTACTCCCTCCGTCAAGGGATTTTGGTTGGATATGACATATTTCTCTATACAGATTCGTTGTACTAGGATGTGTAAGCCTGTCAAGATTCGTTGTATTAGGATGTGTCACATCCAAACAAAATCCCTTATATTTAGAGCAAGTTTAATAGTATAGCCAACTACTAGCTCCAATTCATCTATAGCCAATCTAATAGCTCATTCATACAATAGTTACATACTACACTATTAATAGCTGGTCCCATATGTCATACGTACAATGTGTCTTGGAGTCTGTGCTACAGCTGGCTACAAATGTGTAGCCCGCTGCCCTTCTCTCTTCTTATTTATCTCCTTAAAATATGTGTATAGTTAACTTATAGCCCGCTATTGTACCTGCTCTTAGGGACGGAGAATGTACTCCCGTGTGGCTGTGTTCTTCTCAACAAGACAACAAGTTAGGAACTCTTCTACACACGTAAAACGGAACAATTTATTAGCACATGATTAACTAAGTATTAACTAATATTTCTAAAAAAAATAGATTACTGTGATTTTCTAAACAACTTTTCTAAAATAACTGTGAACATTTAGAAAGCATGCGGGTGAAAAAAAGAGTGGATGGAGCTGGGAAAACCAGCCCTCGTCTCCATAGAGTGGAGATTGGATGGAGCAGACCCCGATCACCATGCACACCTCCGCCGCTCCGTCGCCGCCGCACGCCGACGATCGCCGCCGCCGGAGAAGGGGCACCCACCCACCGCCGCCGGCGGCGGCGCGCGGAGGCCAAACCAAACCACCCACCCAATCCATCCCCGCGTTTAAATTTGGGTGGCGTTTTTTTTAACAAGTTGCACTGCATCCGCAAAATTCGAGCACCCTGATGATTGCTGCTTCCAAAGCTGGCGTTTGCAGTTTGCTTCGTACTTGCGCATTAAACAAAAGCGGCTCACATGTTTGGGAATTTATTGGAACCGCAGCTTTATTACGGATGGATGGAATGCGTCAACGTTACGGCCCCGCTGTTCATCTTATCCTTTTTTTTTATCAGTTCATTCATTTATTGTACTGTTCGCTGCTGCTGCTCGTCCAATTTAAGCATGCCATGGTTTTCTTTTGCGGGAAAAAAATAGGTAGGAGTAATAATTTTTTGCAGAGTCAGCTTTTAAATGAGCAAATTTGAAATAGATGAATTAATATACCTCTAGATTTTGAAACAACTTTTTGATAGTATAAAATAGAAATCAATCCAATCTACTCCCTCTGTCCTAAAATATAAGTATTTTTTAGCTAGTGTGTCCAGATTAATAGTCAAAAGTTGCTATATTTTGGGACGGAGATAGTAGTATGGAGTACATCAGGATGTATCCAACCAAGCACATTTGAAAAAAAATTGAATTTCAACATTTTTTGTATAATGTTTAAATGATCTGGATTCTGATGATGACGTCCGCGTGTTCCATTCAAATGAGGGGGGCACACAGTACATGAGGTTTGTACTTGTGTCACCGAAATGGCAAAATCCAAGGAAGAAAAGCTCCAAAAAGGAATCAAATCAATCCACCCCAAAAAGTCCAACCCCCAACCAAGACGGCGACCGTTACCACGTTTCAAACCCAAACCCACCCCCCTCTCGCGTTTCAAATTTAAATCCTCCCTCCAAATCACCACCACAAATCACAAACCCAACCCCCACAATTTGAATAAGACAAACACACAACCTCTCTCTCTCACACACACAGAACTCGCGAGCTCTCGCGCCTCGCCTCCCATGGCGGCCACGAAGCGGGAGCCCCTCCGCCCCATCAGCTCCAACGCTGGCACGGTCGAGAGACGGGCTCGCGGCGGCGCGGCTGCGGCTGCGGCGGCGAAGGAGAAGGAGAAGGAGAACGAGGTGCCCACCGAGATTGGGCGGGGGAAGGATGGAGGGGAGAAGAAGCCGCCTGTGGTGGTGGCGGTGGTGGTGCCGCCGGCGCCGCCGCTGAAGCCGTCGTCGCTGCAGGTTCGCATGAAGGCCGAGGAGGAGAAGGAGAGGGAGGAGGAGGAGGAGGGGTCGTCTCCGGCGGTGGCGTTGGTGGCGGGGTTGCAGGTGAGGATGGGGCCGAGGGGGAGGGAGCTGCTACTTCCACCGCCGCCACCGCCGCCGCCGCTGCCGCTGCCGACGTCGTCGTCGTACGAGGCGTGGGACCTCTCCGACAACGAGGCGGCGCCGGCCTCGTCATGGGCGACGCTCCCCAACCGCGCCCTCCTCTGCCGCCCTCTCCCCCTCGACGTCGGCAGGTGCACCTGCATCATCGCCAAGGAGACTCTCGCCGCCGCCGCCGCAGGCGCCCGTGGCGTCGCGCTCTACTCCCTCTACACCAACGTGAGCCTCTTCCATCCTTCATCCAAATCTTCCTCTCTGGTTGCTTGCTTGCTTGAGCGAGTCTAATCGGCGGCGGCGGCGCAGGAGGGGCAGGGGCGGCAGGACAGGAAGCTGGCGGTGGCGCGGCACCGGAGGAGGAGAGGGAGGTCGGAGTTCGTGGTGGCGCAGAATCTGGACGGCATCTTCTGCACCTCCGACAAGAACTTCCTCGGCACATTGAGCTCAAACCTCGTCGGATCCAGATACCGAATCTGGGGCCAGGTACAACAAACCACAACCTCCTCTCTCTCTCTCTCTCTCTCTCTCTCTCTCTCTCTCTCTCTCTCTCTCTCTCTCTCTCCTTCCTCATGGTGATAGTTTGATGGAGAATTGGAGATGAGCCGCCATTGATGTGGGTGTTCAACTGTCCATGGTTGCAAATGCAGGGGAACAGGGTGGATGAGATCAAGAGCCAGTCGAAGCGGCTCCTCGGCGTCGTCGCGTGAGATTCGATATCCGTTTGGGGTCATTTCATGCAGGAATTGTGAAGGTTTTTGAGTGATTTTTGTTGAATTTGTCAGGTTTTGGTTTTGTGCAGGTTTGCGCCTACTGTTACTACGCTTACAGGGAGCTTCAGAAGCATGAGGGCTTGGATTCCCAAGAACCAATCCATTCATCTGAAGAACAGCAATTCAGCTCAGGCAAGTGAATTTCCTGTTGTGGAGGTTGGAAATTCAGTGGAATAATTCATTAGGCTAAGAATGTGGTTTTTGGAATGTTCAATTTTTTTTTCAGATTCAGCACATCAGTGGGCTTCCAAAGGATTGGCAAGAGAAGAAGATCAAGGCTGATCAGCTCTGCTCAAGATCTCCTTTCTACAACAATGTATGCAATTTCTCTCTTAAGATTTTAAAATGACTCTTGTTATTTGATTGATACTATGCCAAGATTCAGAGTAAGCTGATAGCAAGATGTTTGTCCTGCTGCATTCATCGTTCACAGATGACAAAACGGTATGAACTGGACTTCAGAGAGAGGGCAGGGAGGATGGGATACAAGGTGCAGCCATCGGTGAAGAACTTCCAGATGACTTTGGAGGTAAACAGAGCAACCTTATGCTGTTGCCACACTCCTGAACTCTAATTGTTGGATCTGATTGGAATCTCATGGCTATCACAACGGAACAAACTGTGAGTAATTTTGCTTTGTTTGGCAGGAGAAAGGAAGGCAGACAATATTGCAGCTTGGTAGGATTGGCAAATCCAAGTACATTATGGACTTCAGGTAAGTTAAAAAAAGAAAGCAATAATCTTCATCATAGCAGGGTGTAATTCTGAATTTTTTTATCAGTCAAAGAGCAAAGATTCATTAGCATAAGCATCGTTTGTTGTAGGTACCCATTGACTGGCTACCAGGCATTGTGCATTTGCCTGGCATCCATCGACTCCAAGCTATGCTGCACACTATGAGATGATGTATCGGAGATGTGAGGGAACCTCATTTGGATTGGTGGAAATTCACAAGAATTTTATAGGATTTAAACTAATGTCCGTAATAATCCTGTAAATTTCCAACATTCCAAAGGAGTCCTGGCCTATTTTGAATTGAGTAGCGATTTTGTAAGAGCAATTGTCCCATTCTCGCCTTGAGAAGGGGCTAATAATGCAACGGAGCTCTGTTCTCGACAATCGCAATGTTTTCTGCACACTATATTTACTGCTCTAGAAATCACGAATTGAATAACACAAACAGGACAGAAAATGTGGTCAACACAATTCACATCCATTGAAATTTCTGGCTAAAAACGGATGGACAAAAGGATCCGTCCCTCAGACAGCTCGAATAAATGTTAAGCCATGTATTTGAATGCTAAGCCAGCAATTAAATAAAGCAAGTATTGTACAAGAGATAAATCGATGCAACGCGGTGTTAGCTCCATCTCAGCTTGTTCAATTTGGATCCAAAGCACCCGCAAACTTCAAAAGTCTGATAAATTGCAGGGCAGGTGTACAGAATAAGCTGTCATGGCCCCCACAAATAAAACATAATCGTTAGTGCATGGTTTCCTACTGAACCAAAGACAGGGAAACAGTCGGCCAGGACATGGCAAGAGTTCTCACCGGGTTTAAATAATTCCATCTAATCTTCATCAGCAGCATGTTCAAGAAGGTAATTTGCTGCGAGTTGCTCGTTCCTGTCACAGGCGAAGAATGCTTCGATGACACGTGCTCTGTCAAATCCCATGCCTTCAAGCTGAAGCATGAAAATAATTCAAAACATTGTTGTTATGTAATGTTATGTACACTGTATATACTTCTGTAACAAGAGGTAATAAGTGAGTTAACTATGTTGTACATACCCGTCCAATCGCCTCTTGCTCTTCAGGTGTGACATTGATAGAATGGGGCATCTCATCCTGGTCAGGTTGGTCTAAGAAGTCCCTGTATCATCAGGAAGCAGGCGAGTGCAAATGAATACCGGAGTAATGCACACGTACTACCACAGAAAGTCCATAAAAAGGTGTAACCATATTGTACAAGTAGCACCGAGGAAAATCCATTGAAAGAAGTTATGGGAGTGTGCTGAAGCAACACAGAGAACATACCAATGGCATTTCAAGTTTATAATTGATTTTTTTTTCATTTCGCATTAACGAATCCTATAACCCTATAACAAATCAAATGAAACCAGAATTGAATCAAGCAGATGAACAGTTCATACCCATCAGCACCATCAAAGGGCTCATTTATTAACTGAAGGAACTCATCATGGTTCTCCTGAATCAACCTCAGAAGTTGAGGATTCTTCTTGCTCAGTTCCTGGAGCATAGGCTATAACATGATACCAGCACAAAGATTAGGCAGGTGATACAAAATAAGCCATAGCAGGCTATACAAGATAATCCATAGCATGTAAACATGTCAAACAAGATAAATGACCTGCAATATTTGTGGGTTAGTATGAACCATTTCCCGAAGCGCCTGAAACTGCAAAATAGTGAAGATAGCGGTGTTATACTTCAACAATTCAAACAACGCAACGTTATACTGAATGGAGGTATACCAAAATGATGCTTTTTTTTCTCGAATACGCATGAGGGTACCAAAATGATGTGAACATTAGGTCCTGTCTCAAAAAAGGAAAACATGATATGGAAGTTTCACTAAGTTGATGCTCACACCATACAGGGTGGTGCGCTGTTCAAGCACAAAAGATGACAGGGTATGCTATCAAAATAACAATAATAAATCAGAAACAATGCTAGCAGCATCAAAAGCATCTTATCATGCATACAGTGGCTCCATTGCTGGCTATGAAAAGCTAAAAGGTAGTTATCCGGTACCAGACAAACAATGGCAACATAATTTATATATTCAAGAAACACTATATTAAAAAACCAAATATTTGCTCAGGAAAATTATACTGAACAAAAAACAAAAATAATCTTATATGGCAAAACAGAGAGGATGACAACCTGTTGGTTATGTCTAAGGAACTCAAGTGTTCCACCACCAGCACCACCTCCATCATTTGCATCGCCCTGCTAAATTTCAATTGTTAAATACATGCAATAGTAGGCGATGGTAATGAATAACCAAGATAGCATATAAACCTGTGGGAAAAGATTTAACGGGGATGCGTTTGGAATTCCAGACAGACTGGCTTCCCTAGTAGAAGATGGCTCGGTTGTGTTTGCCCCTTGACCACCTGCTGGAACAGCAACCTCCGCTGTAATTGGAATGCCCTAATGTTTGGGAGAAACAAACATTATCTATTAACGTTAGAAAAAAAAGAATAACAAACATTTACAGGAGGAAACAGAACATACAGAATATAGATATTCAACAGCACGCTCTGGGTTGTTATAAGCTGCACGTAGAGCTCTTTGGACTTTATCTCTGTCCCAACTGCCACCACCCATTTCCATCAGCTGGTTAATCGTAGTGTCAAGATTGCTTCCCGACAATAGATTTGATGCTGCTTGACCATATGCGTTTGAAGGGGCTCTAAAATAAAAATAAGTTTTAGCAAGCATATAAAGTATATTTCATTAGAAAGTAAACAGTGGAACCCATATTCATAAGACCAATTCAGATCTATCTTCCATAGCTATTAGAATCCCAAAATTGATCAGGACTAAAGCCTAACTTCCTGCTGATAGCTAGCAAGTGTGTTTTTTTCCCCTCCTCTCTCGCAGACCACAATTTATTAGTTCATCTTATCACGTATGCGTGTATGCCAGTCTTCACAATGGAACCTTATCAGATGTGGTAATGTATGAAATGTTGAATGATTTGAGTGTGCTATCAAATTTAAAGAAAGGAATTTTCCTTCGGAGTGACCACGTCACGAAACAAGGATATTAGTGGCAAAAAAGGACATAGCACAAATATTGATTGCAGACTGGAAACATACTCCGCAGGTGGCCTTTCGGGCTGGGGTGTTCTTGTAGGTGCAACTCTGCAAGAGCACAATACATCCACCTAGTGAGTAATACCTTATATGAATGGGGAAGATGCAAAAAAGAAAGTCAATAGTGCACTCACAGGGGTTGAGGAGCTGCTCGTGAAGCATCCGCAGGAGTTTCTTGCCTGGTCAAAGGGGTGCTTGAAGTCTAATAACGGATCATGCAGTCAGTAAATGAAAAAAAAAAACATTTGCATATACATCTAAAAAGTAATAGTATTACCAGTGAACTTAAAGCTCCACTGGAACCAGAAGCTTTACTCTGCAGAGAATCAGAGATTAAGTAAATAATCATGTCTTCCAAAGCAACACAAGAAGAGTACAAGCATGAGAGGAAATGTCGGATAATGTGATTATAGATAATGGTAACTGTAAAGCCAGTAGATAGAGAAGCGACTGTTGACAGGTCATGAAAATTAATCATAGAAAGAAGCATAAGAACGATTCAGGTGTCAATTAAGTTTGGTACTGTGGCATAGAAGAAACTACCCATAGTATAGCTGCTACGTGGAAAGGACTATTAATCATGTTCCTTATTCGCCCATGTCAGATTATCAGAAAACCAACATGCATTAAATGAGGCCAGAGCCAGGCATATTCATCGTTTATGAATATCCACAAAATGATTACGTCTCGCAAGTTATTGTTTAACTGTTTATGCTATTAACTCCCTCCGTCCCATAAAAACAAACCTACTATGGGATGTGACACATCCTAGTAGTATGAATATGAAGGATGTGTCACATCTTGTACTAGGTTTGTTTTTTATGGGATGGAGGGAGTATATGGAACGTCATCGTGTTTTCCTTAACAACTAAGTTTGCTGCACCGTTACACCCAGCATCCAGTCAGAAAAGAATTAAATGAAGCGTAATAAATAACATCACCATTTAAATTATATACAGCACATACGCGGCCTACCTTACTAAGCATGACAACTAAAAACCCAACTTCACTGACTTTGTTCTCTTCCAATGTACTTTCATCTTTCAAAACCTTGCCATTGTGAATCAGCAACTGTTGGCCCCATGGGTAGCTATCCTTTCCTTGTATCTCTTCAATGATCTTCTTGACAGCCATAATCTGTTCCATAGTGTACAAACAGAAAAATCCTGGAACGGTTATATATGTAGCAGAGCCATTTTTGCTATAATTATAGAAGACGTAGCAGACAAGAAATAAATATCTAAACCCCTGTTGCACCCAGGGTTTCAAATACTGGTTTTGGATGGAATTATCATCCCCCAGTGAAACCTGACAAGTTTTACTTTTATCCAGTAATCAGCCAGTACAATGCTATGCATTCAATATTTCAAAGGAGACGATAGCTCCTTTCGGACAGTAACCACTTGCTAACATTGCTGCGCCTGAATCATCATGAACACACTGTAAAACTATGAGTCCAAAGCAGACGATAGCTCCAAGCCTGCAGCTTAATCCATCCATCCTCACGAACACAGCTCCGAGGGACTATCATCATCCAGGCATATCCACTACATTACCATATAATAATAAATAACTAAATAACAGCAAACAACGAGCCCTCCAACGAGGTGAGCCATACTTGCTGAAACGAAACCCTAGCGGAGCAGGACTCAATGGCTACCTCGCATCTACATTGGTGGAAACCCTAGCAAAAATTCTCCATCTCCCCACTAACGAAAGCTACACACGAGACGGGGAAAAGAAAATCGAAATGGGCGTAGGGGGGAAAATTTCTCACGGTGTCGTTGGGCTGCACCCGGATCTCGAACTGGGTGCCCTTGAGGGTCTTCACCGTCAGCTTCATGGCGCCGCCGGAGAGTCGAGCACGCCCCCACCCCCACCCAACCCGCAGCCTCTCTCGGCTAGGGTTTTAGGCCCGCCGGTCGATCGGCTCGGTAGCCCTAACGGATCATGCAGAGAGGAGACCCGCTCCTACGTCGCAGCACCGCCGAGCGGCGGCTAGGGTTGGGGATGCGGCGTCGTCGTCGTCGTCGGCGGCGGAGGAGGTGGCGGCTCGCGGAGTGGAGGGGAGGGGAGGAGGAGGCGCGTGGCGGTGTTGAGGTGCCACGCGATTGAAGACGATCTCTCTCTCTCTCTCTCTCTCTCTCTCTCTCAATTAAGTGGGCCACGCGGATGGTTGACGGGCCGGCCCATCTGAGTTTGTGGATGGGCCCTGTGCGGTATTTTTTCATTTTAAATTTTTATTTTTTAATATTTATAGAAATATTGTACCGGCGTAAATATAAACATTTACAGAAGTGACGTGAGGGACGGACAAGTTGAAAAAAAAAAAGAAAAAATGCATTTTTTGGCAGGACAAAAATTGCATTTACCCCCTTGCAGCCCTTGTAGAGGACGGCAAGGGACCTAAGTGCAAAATGCGTACACCTTGACGCCCTCTACTTGGACGACAGGGGCCATTTGTGTAAATATTTTGGATGGTATAATATTTCTATAAATATTAAAAAAATTAAAATTAAAAATGAGAAAAATTCGGCCTTGTGCTTACCGGAGTACTCCCTCCGTAAAAAAAAAAGTCTAATTCTACAGATAAATCTGGACACACAAAAAAAGTCCAATTCTAGAGATGAATCTGTCACTGGTGGAGAAACCATCTTTCGTCGGTCGGCCGATTTCCACAATAGTCCCGGATGCAATAAAAACCGGGACTAAAGATGATCTTTAGTCCCGGTTCAAAAGGGTAACGGGCATATTTGATCTTTAGTCCCGGTTGGTACCAACCGGGATTAAAGATCATCTTTAGTCCCGGTTCGAATGCTGTCAGGGCATGTCAGGCCCCCCCGGGATCTTTAGTTACCAACCGGGACTAAAGATCGTAACTTTAGCCCCGGCTGGTATTACCAACCGGGGCTAAAGATCCTGGTGATCTTTAGCTCCGGTTGGCGCTACCAACCGGGACTAAAGTCCCACCCCTATTTATATGTCTTCTTCCTCCTCCAGCTGCCCGAGCAAGCTTCAAAATTTCTTCAAAAAAGAGGGGAGGTCATGCCAAAATTTCTATTGAATTTATTTTGGTGATTACATACAAATCGGAGGTGCCTAAAAGGTTTGCAACTTCATCCTCCAATGTTTTTTTTGTCATACTACATTTGCACCTATGTTTTGCACACTTTTTTTGTCTCCAAAATTTATAAGTTGTAAGTTGATGAGAGAGAAAATGTGTGTGGGGAAGAAAGAATATATAGAAATTTAGTTCATTTGCTAAACAAGGTATTATAAAATAGTTGAGAAGGAAAACTCTAGTGAAAGTTAATCTTAAATAATAGAAAACAAACTAAAATAAAAATTAAAAGAAGTAAAACACATTAAAATTAGTTTAAAACTTTACAAATAGTTTTTAAGAATTATTTGGTGTAATATTTTATGATTTTTGTATGAATAAAGATATCTTATAATTATTGTATGACTGTCATTATTGTAAGAATAATTATTTGTGTACGGTTTTTTTTTGACTCATGTAGATGGATCGGCAATGGATGTACGCTGACCGGCGGTCCAAAGAGTTTATTGACGGCGTGCACTATTTTTTGAGAGTGGCCGAAGCTAACAGGCAAAGGGGTTTTATTTGTTGTCCATGCAATAAGTGTAAGAATCAGAAGGAGTATTCTGCATCCAGGACTATTCATTTCCACTTGTTTGAGTCGGGGTTCATACCAAGCTATAATTGTTGGACATCCCACGGAGAGCAAGGTGTTGAAATGGAAGAAGATGAAGTGGAAGACGACAATATTCCGGACTTTGCTCAGTATGTTGGATTTGAAGAAAATCAAACGGGTGAGGAGGAAATAGCTGCTGATGGTAACGACGTTGCGGATGATCTTGGTCAGATGTTGCAGGACGCTATGGAGGACTGCGAAAGTGAAAAGGAGGCCCATAAATTGGACAAGATGTTGGAGGACCACAGAACTTCGTTGTACCCAGGTTGCGAGCAGGGGCACAAAAATTGGATACCACTCTGGAGTTCTTGCAATGGAAGGCAAAAAATGGGGTTAGTGACAAGGCATTTGGCGATTTATTGAAACTCGTCAAGAACATTCTTCTCGGGGGAAACAAATTGCCCGAGACAACGTACGAGGCTAAGAAGATAGTCTGCCCGTTAGGACTGGAAGTTCATAAGATTCACGCATGTCCGAACGATTGTATCCTATATCGCGGTGAGGAGTATGAGAACCTAGAAGCATGCCCTGTTTGCAAAGCACTACGATACAAGATTAGACGAGACGATCCAGGAGAAGTTGACGGGCAGCTAACAAAGAAGAGAATTCCTGCTAAGATGATGTGGTATTTCCCTATGATAGCACGGCTAAGGCGTTTGTTCAGGAACAAGGGGAATGCTAGAATGTTGCGATGGCACGCTGAAGAGCGTCAACAGGACGGGATGCTGAGACACCCCGCCGATGGTTCGCAGTGGCGAAACATCGACAGAAAATTTAAAGAATTTGGAAAGGACGCACGAAACATACGGTTTGGTTTGAGTACGGATGGCATGAATCCTTTTGGAGAGATGAGCAGCGGCCATAGCACTTGGCCCGTTACGATGTGTATCTACAACCTCCCCCCTAGCTATGCATAAAGAGGAAGTACATAATGATGCCGATTATTATTCAAGGCCCCAAGCAACCTGGTAACGACAACGATGTGTACCTAAGACCACTGATCGAAGATCTTAAACAGTTGTGGAAGAAGGAAGGTGTCCCCGTGTGGGACGAGGACAAACAGGAGGAGTTTAACCTACGAGCGCTGCTGTTCGTAACCATCAACGATTGGCCTGCACTTAGCAACCTATCCGGACAGTCCAACAAGGGGTACAAGGCTTGCACTCACTGTATGGATGAAACAGAAAGTACGTATCTTAAGCACTGTAGGAAGGTTGTATACATGGGTCATCGTCGATTCCTTGCAGCAAACCACCTGGTACGGAAGAAAGGCAAGCACTTCGAACATAAGGCCGACCACCGTACGAAGCCTAAACATCGCAGCGGGAAAACAATGTTTGCTATGGTTAAAGATCTTAAAGTAGTGTTCGGAAAGGGGCCTGGAAGCCAGCTTATAGAGAGCGAAGATGGTCACGCGGCGATGTGGAAAAAGAACTCTATATTTTGGGAGTTACCATATTGGGAATTCTTGGACGTACGCTACGCAATCGACGTGATGCACCTCACTAAGAACCTTTGCGTAAACCTTCTTGGCTTCCTAGGTGTATACGGAAAGTCGAAAGATACACTGGAAGCACGTAATGATCTGAAGCATATGGAACAACGCGGCGACCTTCACCCGGAACCAAAGGAGAAAGGAAGCCATTACTTGAGTCCAGCCAGCTACACTCTTAGCAAGGCAGAGAAGGAAAGTATGTTTGAATGCTTGGAGAGCATAAAGGTACCGTCTGGATACTCCACGAATATCAAGCGAATAATAAGCACGAAGGAGAAGAAGTTCACAAACCTAAAGTCTCATGACTGTCACGTGTTGATGACACAACTGCTACCAGTTGTAATAAGGGGTATCCTTCCAGACAATGTCCGGGCAACAATAACAAAGCTATGTGCATTCATGAACGCAATTTCGCAGAAGGTCATCGATCCGGATAGATTAGAAGCCCTTCAGAATGAAGTGGTGCAATGTCTCGTCAGTTTTGAGTTGATATTTCCACCTTCATTTTTCAATATAATGACGCATCTGCTTTGTCACCTTGTGAAAGAGATCCGTATTCTCAGGCCTGTGTACCTACACAACATGTTTCCTTTCGAGAGGTACATGGGCGTTCTGAAGAAGTATGTTCGTAACCGTGCTCGTCCAGAGGCAAGCATCGCCAAGGGTTATGGAACAGAGAAGGTCATCGAATTTTGCGTAGAATTTATCGAAGACCTTCGCCCAATCGGGGTACCTGAATCACGCCATGAAGGGAGACTACGGGGAAAGGGAACTCTCGGAAGGAAAGCAATAATGACGGTAGACAACAATTTATTCCGTAAAGCCCATTTCATTGTTCTGCAACACTCTTCATTGGTAGCTCCTTACATCGAGGAGCACTTGGCTCTAGTTCGCGCCAGGAACATCGGTAAGTCCGATGCATGGATTACACAGCATCACATTGATACTTTCCCCACGTGGCTACGACAACATCTCATGGGTAACGAGTCGATCAACCAACAACTTGTCTTCCTGGCGAGGGGACCGTCTGGGTCGATCGCGACATTCCAGGGATATGAGATCAATGGGTACACATTCTACACGAGAGCCCAAGACATGAAGAGCACGAACCAAAACAGCGTTGTTCGTGTCGATGCCATGGGACACGATGGAACAACTGCCACGTATTACGGTGCCATCGAGGATATATGGGAACTTGACTATGGTCCTCTCAAGGTTCCTCTGTTCCGGTGCCAATGGGTTAGGTTGACTGGTGGAGGCGTAATGATTGATGACAGTGGTATGACAATTGTTGACCTTAACAAGGTTGGATACTCGGACGAACCTTTTGTCCTTGCCAATGATGTAACGCAAGTCCTTTTCGTGAAGGACATGTCTAGCAAAGGAAAGAAGGGCAGAGGGCCTGACGAGCCTAAGCGTCAAGTGGTTCTCCCAGGCAAAAGAAAAATCGTCGGAGTTGAGGACAAGACTGACGAGGATTATGATCAGTTGGATGGGCAACCCCTTTTCACGGTGACGATTGACCCTAGCATCCTCCTATCAAATGAAGACACACCTTACTCACGCAGCGATCACAAGGAGGGAACAATAGTGAGGAGAAAGTACGTGCGGTCAACCGTCACCGCCGATGTAATGCCGTAATTATTGTGTACACGATGTAAACTATTTTGGATGTATTGATTATCCATATAAATCAATTGATGTATGGCAAAATTTACTATCATTCATATGCTACATTTAATTGACTATCATTCATATGCTAATTATAATTGACTAGAGAATTTTTAAAAGTATTAAATCATTCATGTGGCATTTACAGATGTTAATTAGAGTTTTTCACAATTTAATTTACTATCTTTCATATGCTACTTATATATGACTATTCGAATTTTTAAAAGGTTTAAATCATGCATGTGGC